AAGTAATAATTTCTAATTTGTACTACAGACTATTAAATTGATCTACTGTAATACTATAATGATAAAATATATAATAAATAATACAGATATGAATAAATAAGATAATAAAATATATAAACATATAAATAAATAATTAATAAATTTAAAAATAAAATAGAGATAACAGCATGCACTAGTAATTTTTCGTATATTTTAAAAAATTCTTTGCTGATCATTATCTGAACCAAGTTCAGGAAGTTTTGTTCTACTTAAAGACCTGAAAGAAAGGTAAAAAAATATTTATTATATCTCATAGAGTCATCCTCTGAGTTTGTCGAATATATACGTAAAAAATAATTATTACATGTAAATTAATTAAGTATATACTATATTTCTATTTCTAAAAGTCGATTTTGGAATCTATTACCTATTCAATTATATAGAATAATATATTTAGTAGTTTTAGCATTTTTGACCTATAATATAACTTTATTTATGTAAATTTAATTCTGCCTAGTGGTAAGCTTTAGCAATTTTCAATAATATTAACTATATGCTTTGCAAGTTCTAATTTATATTCTATATCAAAATATAGACCATCAAGATTTTTTAGTTTAACTATCTAGGTTATTTTCTTTGTTATTGTTGCTTGGATCACATTTCATGAGGTCAGTTGCAAAATTTAAAAAAAGAAAATTATAATAAAATATCTTTTTTAGCCATGTGAAAATTTTTTTTAAATATACATATTCAAACTAGGACAGAAAAAAGATAGTTTAGTAACAATTCTTAAGTTAAAAGAAAGAGTTTTTTGACTATTATTTTAATTGACCTAATAATAATATTCAGTCATAGCTCTTTATATTATATTATAGAAATATATGAAATATAGACTTTATGACTTATAAATAGATAAATAACTATTTGTGACAATTGACAGAGGTAATTGAATTTTTGTCTTTATAGAAGATATGTAAATTGTTATATTACCAAAATATGTTAACTATATCAAGAGTGTGAATGTGAGGTGACAATTTCAAATTTATTAACAAGTTATCAAAATGCAGTAACTTTTTCAAACAAGAAAATAAATTTTACCTATAGGATCTATTTTTTTTCTAACTAATATAATAATAAAAATTTAACATAATTGAATTATAACAATAAATATATGAAAAACATGATAAAATTGATCGAAAACTTAGAAAAGAATTATCAACCAGAAAATAATAATTTTTCATTTTTCACTTTGGAACTATCAATACAAAGAATAAACTCAATGGCATGCTAGTACAATTCTACCTATGACATTTATAAAACTTACACAATTTTCAAACTTTTTATTATTGGAATAACAAATAAGTTTATTAGATTAATAAATGAGTTTATTGGAATATAAATAAGTTTATTGAAAAGCAATGTATACATTCTACTGTTATAAAGCTCAAGATTTATACAAAATTTTACATATGCATCAAATTAAAAAATAAAAGAACACTTATTTACGTGCTTAAAATAACAAAAAAAAATAAAACTTTAAGGGGTTTGAGTAGGGATACATTGAAAATGATCTATTATCAGAGTACAAGTTAAACCATTACAGTATTAACAAAGAAAGTTAAATGGACCTTCACTACATGTTTCACTTGTCTGAACACATGCAGAGGAACAGAAGGAAGTGAAAATGGTGGAAATAGTAGTAGTAGTAATTGTTGTTGTTGTGAAAAGGGAAGTAGCCCACGTAAAAACAGTATATATTTTGGTTCGAACTGGTGGGCATTCTAAAATAACAGTTAGAGTACAATAGAAGACCCTTATACATTTTTCATGTTTACAAAAGGTAATATATTTTTTATTAGGAATGTAGATAACTTTTCTAACTTTCCTCTTTTTTAATGTCAGTATTTCTTGCGCTGTTTTTTTCATGTAAGTGGTGGAAGTGAAAACAGTAACAGTAGTGGTGGCAGTAATAATAGTTTTAAATTGGGCTATACATGTAGATGTTGTGATAGTGGTAAAGGGTTTTGGATAATCGGGATAAATTGTTTTAATGTGTTGATGTGTCCTGGTGATGGTTTGGCATCTTTCAGAAGCTACTTGTGATGAAAAAAAAAATATCAAGACAACTGTAGCAAAAATAATACTTCTATTCAACAACATCCTAGAAGAAAAAGTACAATTCACAAAAATCAAATGAGTTATATTTATTGAAAGTCTCAATAGGATGCAATATAATTACAGAACAGTAATATAATTGCTCGTTTAGTAGTCCAATATAATTTCAAGTTCACAAAAATTAAATGAGCTATATTTATTGGTGATGCAGATACAAGTTACAGTGCAGTTATATTTATATTTAATAATTCTAAACTATTTGATTTGTATTTAATATATTTTAAATTAATACACAGCATTTCAAATTTAATAGAATTATTCTAAATTTTAGTTTGTAAATAATTTAACTCTATTCAAATCATTGCAAATTAATTATTACTTATATAAGCTATTTATTATTATACATAAATTAAATTCATTATAATAGTATTATTTTAAGAAGTTTATAATGCTTTGCACCCCTGTGTTATAGTTATAAAACCCTGAATCTAGTTATCTATCAGAGCTAAATTGAATTAACATTCAAAATTGCTCTCCCAACCAATAGTAACAGTATACTTGTGTTTAGATTTTATCTGTCATAGTAATTTAAATCAAATCAAATATTTGATAATCAAATCAAATCAAATAATTTTCCAATTTGAATTTGATCAAATCAAATATTTGATAATCAAATCAAATCAAATAATTTTCCAATTTGAATTTGATCAAATCAAATTTAGGTTTGATTTGAATTAGATTTTAAGTTAAATATTTGATCAAATCAAATTAAATCAAATTGCAGAACTCTATATATATAGCATATATACTGTTAAACTTTCCAAAACTGATCTTGTCAAAATTGATAACCTGTTAAATCTGATAAAAAAATTAATATACTAAGTCCATTACTGTTATATAAATCTAATTGTTTATAATATTTCAAATCGGATAACCTCTTAATAATGATAAAATTTTATTAATAATGAATGTCAGTTTTGAGAGGTTCAATAGTACATGTATAATATATATTATTAATTACATTTACTATAAAAGTTTTTTTTATAAAAGTATAAAATATAAATAAATAGTATTGTAAATATGTTATAAAAATAGTTTAATTTTATTATTTAATAATAATTTTTAATATTGTTATAATATAATTTAATATATTAAAATACTATTATTAATATATTATTAGGGTTCCTAGGTTCAGTTCAGTTCAAATTTAGGTTCAATGAACCTGAACTGAACCTGAACCTGAACCACAA